AATACACAAGGGAATATAAAATCCCTTCTATGGCTGGAACATGCTGAATCCCAGAGAGGGTCCCTTGGTCTCAAGGGGACTCCAAGGTCATCAGACTAGGGGCTCTTGAGATCTAACACTGCCAGGCCTCCCAGGGTTTATTTGCCTCGCGCCTTGCAAGTACGCTGGCCTCTGGTCAGCTGCTGCTTCCCCTGCACTGACAGCTCCGGGGTGGTGCCACTGACAGTGTGAAGCCTTGAACTGTCACATAATTAAAATGTCTGCGAAAGAAAATAACCCAGTGATGTTTATTCATTTGCCCTCCCTCTTTCAGCAGCCTGTGTCTTCTTGCTCCATCCCTGAGCATAAACATTTGCCTTTCTCAGTGTTTCATGTTCCACGTTGCTTAGGAAAAATAAACATTTTCTTTCTCTGTTGCCAGCAACAACAACCACCACCAAATAATCCGGAAACAAAGTCTGGTCACAGGGAGCTTGCACTGGATGATTGCGAGGGAGAATGTGGAATAGCAGAAAAGGGACCCAGGCCAATGCCTACAAGAAGCCAATCCTACCTCCCCCATCTTCCCCTACCTCAACCCTCCTGACTTCAGACTTTTCATAGCTTCCACTTGAGCCCAGCACACAGGAGGACATGGACTAGTCCTGTTACAGGAAAGCTTGGTGTCTGTAAAGATCCCTTAGATAGAGAGAGACAGTAGGTGGTGCTCAAGAATGGCTCTGAGGTTTCGGAGGCTCACATGTCTTCCTTTACACAGCATTTTTCATTAGCTGTTGACAGGTCCCACTGGACAGAGTGAGATAGTGGAGTCCTGTTCACACAAGCAGGGGTCAGACTGGTTTGCAGAGCCATGAGTCCTTCCAGCTGAGAAGTGTCAGTATTATTATCCCCTCTGAATGCTGTCTGGGACCACATCTCTTCCACATGGCCTGGTGCCTCAACTGTCTCACTGCATCAGTGAGGATGTGGCTTCCTCTGATGAAGAAGACCTGTCAGAGGTGGTGTTCTCTGAGAACCTGTTTCCCTCTATATGTACCTGTGTTGAAGCAGCCCTTTTTTCTATAGTCTCCCTGTTAGGTTAACCAGGGGAGTTGGCCTGAGACTGGTGCAAGGCCCTCCCTTTCCCTGTTCCTGTTGATTTCCTCCTCACCCTGGCACTGGGGACACTCTGCTTTCCCTTGTCCTGTCCAAGGGCAGCTATAGTTCCACCTCCCACATCCCCAACTGACTCTGTTTCAGGAGAGCAGGCGATCTGGACTTGTGGAAGTGGATCAAGAAGCTGCAAAGATCTTGTAGCCATGATAGTGAACAACCTTTATTCCTCAAAGCCCAGCTTAGGAGGAGTGAAATGACAGAAGGGCTGGATACACCTAAGGGCATGCTCAGATGTTGCTTCCTCACAGTTCTGTAAGGACAGCTCTGCACAGAGGAATAAAGCTAGAGCCAAGAGGCTAGGCATCCTTTGTGGGCTGACCATGTCTGGAAGGGGATCTAGGGCTGTCAAGGAAGTCAGGCTGCAGGAGAGCTCTCAAGTCCCTAGTGGGAGGCTGGATCATGGAGTTGCACCTTGAATACAGAGTCACAAGCATAGGTAGCAGGGTGCTGGGGACAACGCTACTGAGTCCCTGCCCTCCAGGGCAGGACAAAGCCTCACCAATATGGGAGGCCTCCATCCTTAGCCTGAGCTGAGGCAAGTAGCTGGCCACTCTGGCTGACTGGGAACAGGTATCTGCGTTGTGTCATGGGTACTATTTATTTATTGCATGTGGCAGCTCCTAGGAGCACCAGTCACAAACCATGTGTCAGGTGGGTAGAAACACAGAACATAAAGATGATGGTACCTGGCCCAAATAGTATCCTTTAAGTTTGAGAAAAGTGGCAATGGACAAACAGGGGAGCACCAAGAGACTATGCCCAGCTCTTGTCACGTTCTATGTACCCAAAAAGTGTCCTGGCTGGTTGATGCTTCTTTCTGACTGTGGCTCTTCTGCTCTGCCTGCCACCTCCTACCCCCATCTCTGTCCGGGCTCTGGCTCCAGAACGCAGGCAGCTCTTCAGAGAGGGGCCCTGCCTAACAGGAACCCACCCAGAGACCAGTTCCCTGGGCCTCTAATCTGTGAGACTAGAAATGCCCCAACCTCCTGCCACTGCTTGGGGCAGGTCTTGAGGAGCTTGGCTGCTTCTCAGGTGGCCTCTGCAGGCTGGAAAGTGGAGTCTGTTCTGCTCTGAGATGTACCAAAGCTCGAGTGATGACGAAGCCCTGCAGCACCTGGAAGAACATAGCAGGCAGTCTCTGCATGTCTGCTATGGTTTTTGTCTCCCCTGAGACCTGACCTTTTCCTTCTTTCATTCCTGCCTGGACTTTCACAGCCATCTGCTGGGAAGCCACTCTTTTCTCATAGGAGACCCTGCCAAATGTGCTGCCTAATCCTGCTTGCAGACTATCGCAGCCTGCCCCCAAAACTGTCACCAGAGCTCTCCCTGAGGGCTTTCACTCATGTACCTTTTGAATCTCCAAGTCCTCACACTGGAAATTTATTTGCTTCTTTCCTTAGCCGAGAGACGTCAACCCCAAAATGGTGACTGTTCCTCTCACCCCCATTGCTCATTTCCGTTCACTAGTGTGGGACTCCTTCAAAAGCCACTCCTTCCTCCCCACCTTGAGTGGGATAGACTTTGAGTTGCCCTTCCTCCCAGCTAGTAGCAGCCTTCTCATGCAAGGTCACTGGGGTTTATTACAGAGGAAGATGTTCCTGCAGGCATGAGTCAGGGTCTCGCAGTCCTTGCCTCTTTGAGCAGTGTCCGGGGAGTAAGGTGATGCCTGGGATGAGTGAGGCTGGGAGGAGCTCGCCCCTCATCTACTGTGTTTGCAGGAAGGGTTGTTCTCTGGAACCCTGCTTGTTTTTCCCCCTATGAAAAGCCAATGCTGCACTGGTCTGTTCTCATCTCCCTGCTCTGTTGGCTGGAGAGGATTGCCTGAGAGTGATGTAAAGCATTCTTTTCCCAAGACTGTGCCAATTCCCATATCCCCTTGGCACCAGGAAGGTGGAGGGGGGAGGCTCTGCTCTCCCTTGTCACTGGCTCAGTTCTGTTCCCAGCCTCTCAGAGTGACAAACTCTTGCTCCCCAGCTGCAAGGCTTTTGGCCCCCTAGAATTTTATCTTCCTCCAGATCAGAGGAGGGGGTGGGCAGGGAAGCCTGGCCTTGTTAAGTGGTTAATGCTTTTCTTACCAAAACAAATCTGCCGGGGGAAGGTCTCAAGCAGTAGCATTCTGGCCTTATGGCTTGCAAGAGACTTGCAAACAGCTTGGGCTTCCACTGTGTCTCAGCTCTGGTGGGCAAAGCAAGCCTTTTTTACCCCACATTGCCCGCCACTCGTTGCAGCAGGGGTTTGAATCTGACACTGGTAAAGAGGGCATGTTACTGGAGCTGCCTGTCTCGCCAAGACAGGAGTGCCTCTGGGGGAGCTGAGTGTACAGTTACTTAGAGGCCTGTTCAGTTGGTACAAGTCTCTGGACAGAAGAGTCTCTAGAGAATTCCTTGGTGAGTGGTACCAGTCTGTCAGATTTTCTCTCTCTCCAGCTTTGCACATCTGGCTGTGTCCACAGCAGCAATTGTCATGGAGTTTCCTGTTGTGCCCAGGTAGCCCCACCTGCAGCAATGGGGGTGGGAGGCTCGTTGCAGTACAGGTATTTTCCACCAGCTTGCACATAGGTGACCCGGAGACAGGTGCAATGCCCTTCCCTGGAAGTTGTTGGTTTGGTTTGGTTTGGTTTGGTTTGGTTTGGTTGGTTGGTTTGTTTGTTTTTAATAAATTTGTATCCAAGGCCAAATTAGCCAAAACTAATTCCCAGTCCAAGAGTCCAGAACCATAAGTGGCCCTACTACTGACAAACATCCTCCACCCACACCTGGGGCTTCAGATGTTTCCAAATCCTTTGGTGGGCATCCTACTTGCAGGCCCAAGCCTGGGGGCTTGCAGTTTGGATGCCCCTGAGTTTTGCTTGCCTTTAGCCATAAGGCCCTCAGAACAAGCATTTCCATAAACTGGGCTTAAAGCCACTACACCTCGGTGGGTACTGAACCACACCAGAAGAGCAGTTCTCCTGTGGTGCAGTTCAGGAAAACTGCCTTCATGGACATGGGTACATGGTATTTCCCCTGCCAGGTTAAGAAGCCACTTTGCTTGTCCTGAGCCTTCTTGATCTGAGCCTTCATGGCAGTATAGGGACACATCAGGGGCAGGGTATAACTAGCATTGCATGAAGTGCCACAGGCTCTGGGGTGCTTGCAGTGACCCAATGCAAGGGGAGCAGAAGTGACTCGGACCAGCCCCTGAATTGAGAAGGTGCACTGCCCTGCCAACTGCCCTGCAGTAAGGAGGGTTCCTGTGCCCATGGGAGGGCTCTTATGTAGGATCCATCCACCTTCCCCCTGCCTTTCACCCATGCTGGCTGTTGCCATGGGGCTGTCCCTGAAACAGGTGGAATGCAGACACATTTATCACCGCCTGTTTCAGTGGAGTACCAGGTCCTGCCCTGAGTCACAGGTGAGCGCCTTTCAGCCTGTGCAGACGAGCCCCCTTCAGTCTGGGACTGTCTCAGGTGACAAGTGTGGGTAAACAGCAGTGGTTCTGTGCTCAGCAAAGGGTTTGATTGAATGCTAGAGCCTGTTTGCCGAGACAGGGGGGATGGGGGTGGGGGACAGCCAGGATGCCAGGCTTATCTACTGCTCTCTTCACAAGTGCCTTGGAGCCATCGGCAGCTCCCAGCCCAAGCAACAGCACAGCCACAGTCGGGAGACCCGTCCCATGGAAGTCAGGGTACCTCTCACTGAAGACCTGTAATCCCAAGAGCAGCAGCAAAGGATGGCTTAATACCAGCCCCTTCTCACAAAGGAAAGACCCACAGCTCTGCACCTTCTCTTTGTTACCACCCAGATGGAAGCATCAGTGGCTCTTGAGGGTCTAGACTTGGTGCTGTATCCATCCAGCATTGCTGTGCAGTTCTCAGCAGGTGCCACGTCTCCCGCAGGTTCCTACAACTTTCAGAGGGCCCTGGGATGCAGGTGGGTTAGTTCACTGCAAGGATCTCAGGCATGGGTGGCAGTGGGTGATGGCTGCTGAGCTTGAGGACTGTCCAGCTGGGAAAGGGTAGGACAAGTGAGTGGAGTAATGACAGCAGCGAGAGTGGGTGATTACCCAGTGCCTTGCATGACCTCCCAACCCCTGAGTTGGTCCCTGCAGCCTCGCTCAAAGGCACAGGGCTGATACATAGATGTTAGCCGAGATAGCGGAATTAATGCCAAGGGCTTCACACTTCATTACAGCCCACATGAATGGAACTATTGTCCTGGAACAGAGAGATGGCAAGTCAGGATTAAACAGCAGCTCTGCCCATAGGAAACTAACTGGCACTGTGCCAAATTGACCTTAAGGCCCCTGGTGGTATGATGCTGGGAGGATGGTCTGTCTGAGTGCACCTCGGAGACTGGAATGTGCCAGCCTTTGGGTGGGGGGAGGTATAGGGGTCTCCTTTAACCCCCAAGTCACCACAAGCTACAGAATGAGACATAATGAGCATGTGGGACCGAACCTGGAACCCAGGTGGGACGGGGCACTCAACTGGCCTCAATTCATTCAGCACATGGGCAGCTTCACTGACTCCACATCTTGCCCTGTTTGTCCTTCCTGGCCAGGGGACATGGCTAGAAGCATCTCTCACACATGAACACAGCCCTTAGCTCTTACAGGCACTTTAGGTACTTCCCTCCAAAGGAGTCTGCTGGGTGTTGCTTTGTTACCAGAGGGTTGGAAAGGCTCTGCCACTATGAGGATGTGCTGGTAAGGAAGAGCTCCCATCGGGGAAACAGTTCCTTGAAGTGTGCCCACAAACTTATGAGGATCTGAATGTGTTCCTCTCCTCCCTCCAGGTTGGAAACATTGCCTTTTTAGCTCTCTGTGTAGCAGCTGTAAGGCAGGAACTCATAATCCTGATTGAGCTGTTTTGGGGGAGAGGTTTGGCCTATGTAGTAATAATAGCTCTGTGGGAAGGAACCCTCTCTGGCTTAGCCGCATCGGTTGTGATAGTGTTCTTGATACCCCTAGGTACTTGGTGTGACCCTCCCTGAAAGTTGTGCCCCCTAGGCTGAGAACCCAGAGCAAAGCTAGGAGCAGCACTTCATTAAGATCACCAGGGCAGTGCACTAATTCCCCATGCACCAAGCAGGAGTTGCAACGAGGTGTGTTTTGCAGAGATGATAATGTGAAGGAAGAAGGGTGGAAATTAGCCTCTGTGGGCCCCCAGCTCTTCCTCCATACCCACGTCCTGCTCCCCAGGCACATAATTTCCCTTAGCTGTGCAGACGTTTCCCTGTCCCAGCACAGCATTTGGCCTGTGAGATGTGTCTATGTCCATTAGGGAGAATGAAATGCCTGATTAAACTACTCCCCAAGCACTGTGCACTGGGGGTTAATGACAACAAGCAGCCAACTGGAAAAAAAAAAAAAAAAAGAACAAAAAACGGGAGGCAATTCACTGCCCAGAGATTTTTGTGTCTGGCTTTGAGGGTCTGGCTCTCGCCCATAGCTGCAAAACTATTTTCTGCTGACCAGCTGCCTGGGAAAAGTAGACCATAATATCCCAGGGCCAAGACACTGCTGTAGTTCACATGGCACCACAGCCCTCCTATGCTGGAGAGCAGTGGAGCCCAGCAGATGGATCATACTACAGACACAAGTGTTGGCTGGACAGGATGGAGGACAAGCTTCCCAGGGGAGGTGCTGTTGGCTCAGGATAGGACATATGGCCTAGTGGGGAGGCATAGCTGAGAGACTGCTGTGGTGCAGGTGAGAGGAAGGGTTGTCTCACCATGTGGCTTGATTTCTCCTGCTGTGTGCTTCCGTAACAGCCCTGCTCCTCTTTTGCCTAGGATGGGGCTCGAAAACACACCTGGAAGGAACAGAACTCCTGGGTTTCCCCCTCAGTTAACACCTTGGAGTCAGGAGTCCCCTCCAAGGGCTTCTCCCAGGACACCGAGGGACAGGCGGCGCACTGGAACCCACCCCGCTGCGGCGTGCCCGATGTGCCCATCCTGCCAGATGGCCAGAACGGGCGGAACCGACAAAAGCGGTTCGTCTTGTCGGGAGGGCGCTGGGACAAGACGGACCTCACCTACAAGTAAGACGGGTCTGGAGCAGGAAGAGAGTTCTCGGTGGCTTCTTCCCTCTTACGGGACCTCTCCATTCACTGCTCTCCTGAGCAACAGAGGCTGAGTTGGGCTGGGCCTCTACCAGCATGGGCCTGTAAAGGCTGGGGGGCTTATGCAAGAAGCAGGGTGCACTAATCCCAGAGACCAAGTTGCAGTTTACTGGTGTAACCAGGGTGTATTTCCCCACTCACACTCACAATGTGTCTATCCCTGTATACCAGTTCTCAATCTTCTTAGCCTCAAGGCACCCCTTGGAAAATGCCAACTCTTAGTTTCAACTCGTTTTGACTACAGAGACGTACTAGAGCGATTCTTCTGTAGCAAAGAACTCAGCAAGACCAAAACAGGTCAGAATGGTTTTAATACTGTGGATTCCTATTTGAAATCTCTGGGTTTATCCTGTGAATCGTGTTTGCACCTAGCAGTGCTAAGGTGGTGTGGCACACAAGGCACCCCTGAAAGGATCTCAAGCTTCTGCAAAGGCTTTCATAGACGACTTGCATGAGATTTCGTGGGCCACCTCAGAGTTATACTGCACCCTGTGTGCTAGGTGTCAGTAAGTGCTCTACACAGTATACAGACTACCCAGTGTACTCAATGCCCGAAGCACTCAATCTGGACCCAGACTCAAGTCCTCTTCCTGGTACGTTAATTAGGCCTGTTACTGGGTTTGGACAACAGCAAGCCAAGCAATGTTGTTTGATAGATCACTCGTAATAATGGAAAGCGGATGGTGACTTTTTTCTGAGGGGAATGATCAATGTGACCTAGAGAAGATATGATTTATAGGCTGTAGAAAAGTGACAGAAAACTGATACAGAAAAGACTCCTAGATGAAGTGAGTGTGGAGGGTAATGGTGATTGTGATGATACTGGATACTGTGGCACTTGCATTAATGGTGGCTACATTGACAGTTAATGCAGTGAAAAGGATGCTAGTGGTGATAAGTTATTTACAGGGGAGATCTGGTATCATTTCCTGACTGGGATGGGGGTTGCCATGAGATGTTGATCCCACAGTGTTTTGACGTTAACAGAGGAGCAGCAGCTCTTTCCACAATGCTAATGACACTTGAGCTGCTGCAGCTGCTGCCTCGAACGCACTGATCCTACCTGAAGTGCTGGTACCTCAGCGATGGCTGCAGGACATTGGGTGACTCTTGCTGCTTTTTAGGATAATCAGATTCCCTTGGCAACTGGTGAAAAGTAAAGTGAGACGCACAGTTGCAGAAGCCTTGAAAGTATGGAGTGATGTGACGCCGCTGACCTTCACTGAAGTGCAGGAAGGCCGAGCCGACATAGTCATTGATTTCACAAGGTGAGCATGGAAGGAAAGGAAGCTCTAGTCCAGAAGGGGGTGGTCGTCTTCTTCCAGTGGGCCTAACAGGACAGGGCCAGAGTCCAAAGTCTTCACGAAAGCTGAGCAAACTGTCACTTATTCACTGAATTTAGTCCCGCTTTCTGTTCCCAAGCATTCTCCTTGGCTGTTCAAGGACAAGCCATTATTTTGTCCCATGCTTGTGTAGCACCTCACACAATGGGGCCTGGATTCCTGGCTGAGAGCCCTCTACATCACTGCCTCACAAATAGTCATGATGTTTTATTTTATCAGTTCGTGTGCCATTGAAAACCATTTTGCCCATTAATTTATGCCAGCACTTGTTCAGCTGTTGGGTCTTTCACAAAGCATTTGCCTTGTCTGTCTTCAGCTATTTAATCTCTGCCCCCTGAGAGACTACCTAACCTTTTGCCCCAAAATAAATATAGTTTCTTGGTTAAATGAATCTCGGCTCCAGGCCTTGAGATTCACTTTCTATAACGTATTTATGAGAGCAAATCTTCACTCCAGTGAATGTTTGCACAGAGCTAATGCAAGGGATTGCGGAGACTGTTCAAGGGATGATGCGGGTTGCAGTCAGTATGTTTGTGCTTTGCCGAAGTGTTCACATCTCCCTTGGGCTTCCCCAGTCGACAGGAGCTGGGCCTGGGTGAGGCCTTGAGGATTTGGCCCAGGTGCCCAGTGGTCTGCCACTCTGTTTACCCTCAGTTCACCTAGGCTGACTTAACTCATGGTTTGACGAGTCTTCGCCTTAATTCTGAGGGCTCAGTGGTTAGTCCTCAGCTTTTCTCAGGTCTGTAGCTTTATTTAAGTGCTGCTTAACTGACCTGGATATGTGCATCCTTTCCAGGTACTGGCATGGTGATAACCTGCCTTTTGATGGGCCAGGAGGGATCCTGGCCCACGCGTTCTTCCCCAAGACCCATCGTGAGGGAGATGTCCATTTCGACTATGACGAGACCTGGACCATTGGGAACAACTTGGGTACGTTGCTGATGCAGATGACTTGGGAGGGGCAATGACTCCTGATAAGGAGCCTAGAGGAGCAGTGACAGCAGGCTCCCCACGCACAGCAGAGCACGTGGATCATATCCTGCCCCCTGCAACCTTGTACCTTACAGGCTCTTGTCACGTTGCAGCTGCAGTGAAGTCCAGTTCTAACACCAGGTCACCTGAACACCCACAGCTAGAAATAAAACAGGAGAAATGAAGGGAAACTAAGGCACAGATGCCAGGTGAAGAGCTCCTTTGTCACAGTCCCATGTAGTAGGCTGGGATCAGTCCCAGGTCCCCTGAGCATTTCTCTCAGTCCGTTCCCAAACTTCTCTTCTTGAAACCGTCCATAAAGGGAAACAATACAGAACAACTGCAAATCTGCCATTTGGCCTGGGAATAGTCTGGCCGTAAACAACATCTCCCTGCTGGCATGGGGGCGGGGGTGACCTCAGTTCCAGATCAAGTAAAAACCATGGGGCTAATAATAAAGCAAGGCCAATGTCTTCATGTCCTATCTCACAAGATAGGTTACAGGATCTTGGGATCCAGCAGCATTATTCCCTAAAGCCTGGCTTCTCCAGCAAGATCTACAGAAAATAACCTGCATCAGACACTCTCCCCCTCCCCCAGCCCTCCATGATAGTCAGGGAGAAGGAAATGAAGAAAGGATTTTTAAAAATACTAAATTAACACCTCTTTCTGGGCCTCAGCATCCATCTCGTCTCATTTCTGTCAGGGTTTTAGCACTCACAAATCCAGTCCTGTGCCCACTGAACTCCAGGGCAGTTTCCCCATTGACTCTGAAAGCAGGATTAGGCCTTCATTTGTACACCCCCTGGAGCAGAGACCGTCTTTATTTTTGTTGTGTACAGCTCTAGTTTCACTACAGCTCAGAGCACCAACTAACTCACCCCAGTACCTTTTGCAACATTACCAAGATACTTCCTGCCGACTGCAGGGGGACAGTCTAGGAAACACCCAGAATTCTCACCACACTTTCCAGGTTTCAGTGTGCTATATGAAGAATTGCCTTGTGTGCTAGTCTCCCTGAAGCCAATCAAACCATGCCAGTATCCATCCTCGTAACAGAGCCCAGTTCTTACCACCTTTTCTCATGTGGCTTCAGAAATAATTAGCAGGAACATTTTGTATGCCCTCACCATTTAATAGCCTAAAAGAGCTTGCCAGCCCCTCATTAATCCTTGCAAGCCCTTTGGGAGGTAGAGAAATCTCATCCTTCATTTTTGCAAACAAGGACACAGAATCAGAGAGAGGTTTCAATGATTTGCCCAAGTGTCTCAGAGCAAGTCATGGTCAACAACAGGATTTGACCTTGGGGGTTGCTGGTTCCCTGCTGCCTCTGTGATGAATGTGATGGCACTTCCCCAGCACAGATTTTTTCAGATATGCTGATGTTTAGCTTGCCATAAAATCCGACCACAGCACAGCAGGTCTGCCAGTCCTGGAAAGCAGAGTACGAGGAGTCTGCCAAGCTAAAAAGCATTGTTTGAAAGTTTTTAATAAACCATTGGTGTAGAAATCCTGCAGCCTCAGCTAACGTCAATGTGGTTAGGTTCATGGTGTCACCACTGAGCAAATTTTATTCATGTCTTTGTACTGCTAATAGAAAGATAAAGCCAACGCTGCATGTCTCCCAGACCTATGCAGGTGTTCCTACTACATGGAATATTCCACCACATGGCCATACCCCTTGGGAGCTGACCCTCTCCCCTATAGGCAGTAGTGGATGAACTAAATATAGCAGCTCTTGTGGTTGACTCTGACCCCGACTCTCCTTTTTCCTCTCAGATTGCAACGTGGAGGCTTTCTGACTGAAACCAGGTGCATGCCTGTGGTCAGAAACAAATAAGCCTTGTAACTTAGTTTGCTTCTCTCCTAGAATTTTAGAACCTGGAACTGGTCAGCTGGGAGCTACCTGAGGTCTCCTGGATCCCATTTTTATTCTCCCTTTAAAGATGCTTTCAAGTAGTTTATGCTTACTTGAAAGTTATTCCCTTATGCCTACTTGAAGGTTACTCCCTGAATTCTCTGAGTGTAGTAAGGAAGGAGCAGATGAGCCTTTATTTATCTTTAATGTCATGTTCTTGTTACAGTCTACTGAAAAGCAATGTATAAGCTCCCCCTACTGTCTGTGCAGCTGCCATCCTGAGCACAAGCTATTCTCAGAGCTATTTCTTCATAGCAGCTGAGGTTGCAGTTCTGCTTCCCTGCAGCTGTCACAGCAGATGTGATCTAAATGTGACCTGTCATGTTGCATTTAACCATCAAGGAAAGAGGCCTCCCTTGCAAACTTAAATCTACCTGGAGACAATATTAGCATCTTTCTACCTGCTTCCTACCAGACAAACTCCCACATGTGTGTCAAAAGCAGAACCCTCCATCCACCGGCAGGTGTGAGATTCTCCTGGGAGCTGGGACCATTCGTCCCTGTAGCTGGCCATGTGCAACTCACTGAAGGCAGAACTGAAAAAAGCTGATATGTTCAGGTGAACACACACGTGTATAAGAAAATGGGCTGCACATTCACTGACTCCCTCACGCAGCTACAACATTCAGGAAGGAAAACCCAGCCCACCCCTTTCACCAACAACCTTTGTAGGCTTGCTAGAACTGCCTTTTTAAAGAGAGGTTTCAGGATCTACTGAATTCAATCCTCTGTGGAGATGCTTGCCATCTATAAGCCATGAAGCACATCAGTAGACTCCTGTGGACAACTGTTACCCTATTTAGAAATCTAAGAAAGAAACAGAAACCTTCCTGAGAAGCAGGTTCCCCCTCTGCCTGCCTGTTCCCAGGCCCACCAGAGTGCATAAGCAGAGAGGCCTCTGCCCATCTTGGGTGCTTCACCCCCTTCCTGGACACTGAAGAACACCTTCCTCCTCCTCCCTTTGCAGGGACTGACCTTCTTCAAGTGGCTGCTCATGAATTTGGCCATGTCCTGGGCCTCCAGCACACAGCTGTCTCCAAGTCACTGATGTCCCCCTTCTACATCTTCCGCTACCCACTGAGCCTGAGCGAGGATGACAAACAAGGAATTCAGTACCTCTATGGGAAACCAAAGCTTGAGCCAGAACCAGCCCCAACCCCAACCCCAACCCCAACAGCAGAGCCACCCCAGCCAGACATTGAAACAAATGAGATCACCAATGAGGAGGTGAGTGAATAGCAATGCATGTACCAAAACCCCAGAGAA